TTTCTTTCTTTTTGAGTAAATAAAATCTTTCATAGTTGACAAATGTCTCAACTATCACAAGGTAGAAGATTCACATTCATAACTCATAAATATAACTCCAATGTAAAAATTACAAAAGAAAAGAAGTTAAGATTTTCAATACAATTTAGTGACAACAAGAAATCATATATATATATATATAATAATACAGGAAATATAAATTAACTCCAGCAAAGGTGACAGTGCCTCCTGGTTAGGAATTAATTTTATATATATATATATATATATATATATATATATATATATTCTAGTAGCATTTAGGGTTTCCTAATAAATATTGCTAGTGACAGTTCTCTTCGTTTATTGGCACTTCCAATGTTTTATTGATGTTCTCATTTGGGTGCTCTTCTCATTGTCTTGACGCCACCAAGTTTGCTTTCTCATCATCCTCTTTTCAATCAGGTATTATTCTTTGCTTTAATAAAATTCTATTTTAATTTGTCATTTTCAATCTCATTTTAATTCAGTTTTCGAATAAGGCATGCAGCTAGCATTTGATTGATGTATTCTACCACAAATGAAATCATTTCAAGATTAAACAATAATTTCCCCATTATGAAATTCATGACTTGGTATTCTTATTTTAAATGTTAATGTTAAGCCTTTCCATCTAAAATTGAATAACTATTTTATCAAATAAGTTCCCAAGCTCAATTGTTAGTTCCAAGTAAAATTAACCTCGATTTACTTAAGTAAAATTTTGGATTCAATAAATCTTACAAAATAAAGAAAATGTTGGTAAAAAAATAATATTTTATTAAAAGTGATTAGCCAAATTTTCTAAAAGAGATTAATCATTAATAAAAAAAAATGAAATTTATCAATTATACACTAATAATGTAAAATAATAATATAATATCAACCAATTATAAATTATCATTAAAACAAAATTGTAAGTTGTTTAGTGCCTTAACTCAACTTTAGAATTTATAAATAATATTTTATTTTAATATTTAGTGTTATAAACTTATATTTATTTAACATGATTTTTATATTAATAATAATAACAATAATTTTATTAATACTAATTTAATGTAAAAACATTAAATTAAATCTGACTAATATTGTAAATTATCTCAATCTATTATTTTTAATTATGTTGTTGATGATTTAAGAGACTAAAATAAGATCTTTAAAATTATAGATACTATAAATAATAATTTAAAATTTTATAAATAAATTTACTTTAAATCTAAAAAATTAAAAATATATTTAAATATATGTCAAATCAAAATACCCTTTTGATGTAACACATCTGAAAGATCAAAACATGAGTTAAAGTTTAAAATATATCCTCATATTATTATTTAATAATAAGTTTAAAATATGCCCTCATAATAATAATAATATTTTTATTATTATTTAAATATATGTCATATCAAAATATCCATTTAATATAATATATTTAAAATTTAAGATTAAAACATGTTCTCGTAATATTAGTTAATAATAAGTGGCACTATTTTATATAAATTCAAGTTTAATAAATTAAAATTAATAGTTTTATTTTAAAACCTTAAAAAATTAAATTTGTATTTAGAATGAGTAAATGATATTTGAACTTTCTTTTAAAAAATATTATAAATATAATGATAGGATAATTATATTGATACAAAAAATTTTCTTGCATTCTTTTTATTCTATTTTTCTGTTGCATCTTTATTTTCGTTACATCATTTAATTAGTACGAATTACCCGATCCTGTAAAGTTTACTAGTGAAATTATAAATTAATGTTTTAGAACTAAATTTATGATATTTAAAGGGTTGAATTTATTACTGCACACATGCAGTTTTATTTCAATCTGCAGAGGATCCAAATTCTAATTAGCACATTTTTTAATTGGCTTATGAAAATAGTGACTTATATTTGTGAATACACAAAATAGGTATTTAATCTGTCTTTTTTTTTTTTTTTAAATCTCTCTCTAATTGTCCACACAGGTGGACATTCATTAATTTCTATCCGTAATCCGTAATGATAATAAATTAATTTCTTTCAATTTCCGTTCGTTTTCTGTTAAATAGTACCAAAATCATTAGTCTCTAGTTTCAGTTTTTCCTTTAATAGCTGATTCCTCGTTTGTTCTATGATTTCAGATCTATTTGCCTAACTATCTTTCTGGAGCTATGTACAAGAATTGAAGGAATCAGTTAAATACCCACAAACGATTTGGAAAATCAAATACGAAGCACAAAGTAAAGATAATTTGGATATGATTCAAGCTTTTGCAACTTTTTAAGAATTGAGCTAGCTTTGGTAAGCTATTATTTGCTTATCTTCTTAACTAGTTTAAGAAATAAAAAAATTAGTTTAAATTCACTTTTCATCTTTATAATTTTGGAATGTATCATTTTTAAATAAAATTATAAATCATTTAGTTTAGGACACTAGCTAGAAACTATAAATATTATTATAACTAAGAAAATAACCGAGAAATTAAATAGGAGCTAAATAATATTCAATGGCACGTGTATAAGTTAGGTTTCAAGTGGTCGAAAATTATTCATGTGGCTCAAAGGATATATATATAGCTTATGCATAGATCACTAATAAGATAACCTCTGAGACTAAATAAAAGAATATATGATGGAAATGAATGATTTAAGATTGTTTCATATATATTTTACCTGTTATTTACTCTATAAAGTTATTTCATCTACTATAGCCTCCTTTTAGCGGCCTAATAAGAGAGTATTACCCTATAGAAGTGGATATAAAAAGCAAAAAGAGAAAAAGAGATAGCTAGGATGAACAAAAAAATAAGTAAAAGGAGAATATGATAAATGAGATAAGTGGTACGTCAAGACTAAAAGAAAATTAAATATGATAAAAATGAAATGAAAAATAAAACAAATGGTTGGTGTTGAGAATGTTGCGAAAACATTTTAAATTTTCAAATTTAAATTTCTAAAATATTATTTAGATTTTAAAAGGAATTCATTCTTTTAAGATATTGTTTATAATTGAAATATATTATATTTATTTTAGATATTTGTTTTCTCTTTTAAATTTATGATATATTAGACCAATAAATAGAGATCCTTGAAATGAGAAAAATCACTCACCTGTAGAAAAGGATTTCCAAATTTTACTCATAAAACTTATGAAAAAGGGGTTTTCAAGTTTCACTTATAAAACTTGTGAAAATGGTGTTTCCAAATTTCACCCATAGAAATTGTGAGAACCTTTTAAATTTCACTCACAAAACTTGAAGAAAAGATTTTCAGAAACATATATATAATACATTTTGAGATAATGAATATTCTTATGAACATAAATATGAAAGTCCAACCACATTAATAGCATGTTTGTTTTACCATTTGAATATCATTCATCAGGTTTTTTTTTTATTTATATATATATATATATATATATATATATATTTTTCAAAGCAGAAAAGTAGAAGTAAGGAAAGAGATGGATTACCGTTCAGTTTCATTCAACGTGAAAACAAACACGCTATTAACCTCGTTAGTTATGATGAAAGCTTTTTGTTAGCCATGGCCTCTGATGTTGGAAAGTGGTTAAGGGTTGACACTGATACTTCGAAGGTTGCAAAAGGATGGTTTCATATCACATGTTTTTTATGCGGATGTTATGTTCATTTAGTTCGTAATTGCATGCCAACTTTATATAATGCATGAAAGTATTCGTGGAGGAGCTGGTGAGGAGGGAAAGCCAAACATTAATGGCGTAATTGTTATTCAGTTATTAGTCCCATTAAGAATGCAAAAGAATTCATGTGGATTTTACCATTTGAATATCATTCATCAGTTTTTTTTTTTATATATATATATATATATATATATATATATATATTTTTCAAAGCAGAAAAGTAGAAGTAAGGAAAGAGATGGATTATCGTTTAGTTTCATTGAATGTGAAAACAAACACATGCTAAATAAATTTTGTGTGACTATTTATGATGTTATTTTTAAAGTGTTTATTATTATTATTATTATTATTATGCTTAAAACAATATTTTTTTCTTAACAGGGAGTAGTTCACTATTAAGCTGCTTTATTCCACAAAGAACTGTCGAGCTTCCACATTGCCTATGCTCCTAGCCTTTCTCTTTGCAGAATTGGATCTGAACCTTCCAAGTGAAGTTTTTATATGTATGTCTAAAATAATCTGCATTAGTATTTATGCTATTATTTAATTACTCTTACGTTGCAAAAGTTATAGGTTAGTTATATCAATAGCAAATATAGCTGCAAAGCTTCTAGTTAATTTGCACTTTGTTAATTCATAACAAAAGTAAGAAAAAATATTATTTCAGAATACTATTTTACTATTTGACATAGTTGATTTAAAGATGAATTTCAATAATCTTGTTATGAAAAAAATACTTTAGTGCTTCAAATTAAATTCAATTTGTGCTGCACATGTCAGGGAGTAGTGGAGTATTGTAGAAGATCTGATCCTTTCTGTTCTAGCTATTATCTACTCCAAGAGGGTAAGCCATTTACTTCAATTTTTCTTTTACTTCATTTTAAGTTATTGCTTCTATCTATAATCGTAGGCTAAACTTGTATTAAATCCTTCACAGCAACCAAAACAACACACAAGGGAAAGGAAGATATATTGGCACATTTTCTTCAAAACATGAAAGCAGTAGCGATTACACGTCAACTGAGTAACCTGATTTCCAACAAAAGCATTTTGGAGGATCTGAATAATGAACTAAAGAATCTGCTAGAACAAAAGCAAAGGGTGCAAGAAAATCTTACTTGGGAATCTGAAGAATTCGAGACTCAAATTAGCTGGTTAAAAAAAGTTGATGAGATTGATGAACAAGTGAGGGCATTCTTGTCCTACTTTGAAGGCAAAGGTACTTGCACAAATTTCATGTGGCGGTACAAGGTTGGTAAGAAATCAGCAAAGATGAGAAAAGATATCTCACAATTATATGAAGAAGGAAAATATTTTCTATCTATTAAACCAGCAAAAGACTATAAAGGCCCAAAATCAAGACCCGATACTATACATGATATCATGGAGGCCCTAAAGAACCCTGATCTTTTCCAAACAGTTGGAGTATGGGGGCTGGGTGGTGTAAGCACAACCTCAATAGCCAAACAAGTTGGGGAGCAAGCAAAAGAACAAAACTTGTTTGATTCAGTGGTTGTGATAAAAGTAACTGAGAAGCCAAAGGTGAAACAAGTTCAAGAAGATATTGCAACTGAATTGATTGTGCATTTCGATCAGGAAACACTTGTAAAAAGAAGAAACAAATTGCGCCAGAGAATGAAGAATGAGAAGATTCTTGTCATAGTTGATGACAAGTGGGGAGAGTTGAACCCTCAGGAATTTGACTTGGAGGAAATTGGAATTCCTTTGGGTGATGAACATAAAGGGTGCAAATTATTATTGGCATCAGGAAATTTGAATTTCATACAAAATGTGAAGGGTGGCACTAAGGTTAAGGTGTTTCAGTTAGAAGTATTACTAGAAGATGAGGCTCTGAGCTTGTTTGAGAAGATGGTTGGAGGTGTTGCTCAAGATTCTGATGCAAGTTCCATTGTAACCGATATAGTTAAAAGTTGTGAAGGTTCAACATCATTAATTTTTTCCATTGCTAAAGCATTGAAAAAGAAGGGCTTAGAAGACTTGATGAAGTTAAAGGAAAATGTTTCACCAACAAAACTATTGTCCTATAGTTTAGAAAATGATCAGGAACTCAAATCATTATTGTTGCTTCTGACTATTCGGGGAAGAAGGGCTATTAACAGGTATAGCATATTTATAGACATGTGGATTGGTTTAATAAAAAATATTGAAACATTAGATTCTGCAAGAAAGAAGCTTGATTCACTAATTAGTGATTTAAAGGCCTATGGTCTTCTTGTTGAAGATGGAAAGGAAAATGTTAAGATAGATGACTTCATATGGAAAACTGCTTACTCAATAGCTCAAAATGATGAACAAGGTTCAATAATTTCAAGAGAATGGCCACATGATGAAGAACTGCCAAAAGGTTTAGCCTTCTGCAACATAAATATTGTGAGTGGTTTGGCGATTCCTGGAAGGTTGCAATGTCCAAACTTGCAACAGCTTGTGATAAGTACCGACACTCCCTCAATGCAAGTTCCAGATTCCTTTTTTGAAGAGACTAAACTTCTAAAGGTCCTAAATTTTGTTGGCTTTGATTGTTCAAAGCTTCCAAATAGTTTGGCCTCGTTAGAGAAGCTTGAAGCATTATCCATGAATAATTGCAAATTGGGAGATATTACTAACGTTGGTGAGCTCACAAACTTAAAAGTGCTTAGCCTTCTTGGAAGTAGTATCGAACAGTTGCCACGACAAATTGGACAACTTGAGAAGTTGCTATTCTTGGATTTAAGAGATACATCTCTCCAAGTGATTCCATACAATGTTTTGTCCAAATTGGAAAGGTTAGAAGAAATATATTTGAGAAAGTCATTTTCTAAGTGGGAAACTGATCAATCTACCAATGCAAGCTTGAAAGAGCTTGAAAAATTGTATCACTTGGCATATATAGAAGACTTGAATGTTCCTGATCCTCAGGCATGGCCAGTTGATTTGTTCTTTGGAATGCTAAAATCATATACAATTTTTATTGGGGATAAGTGGGTTCAAACGCATGATGGTGATCATCGATTAAAGACATTGAAACTGAAGCTCAACAGAGAGTTTCAGTCAGAATATGGAATCAAAAGAATGCTGAAAAGTGTTGATGTTTTGTACCTTGATGAACTAAATGGTGTCCAGAATATTGTTAGTGATTTGGACAGTGAGGGATTTCCCCATTTGCAGTCTCTCCTTATACAAAATAATGCTGAAATCAAATGCATAGTGGGGCAAAGTCATGATGATCTTGATGCTTTCACCAACTTGGAGTCTTTGACTCTCAACAATCTAAACAATTTGGAGCACATATGCCATTGTAATCATTTAACTCAGAGGTCTTTCTTCAAACTAAGAGTTCTCAAAGTACATAGCTGTGATGCAAAGGGATGTCTCTTCTCAAGTTCAATGATCAAAGGCCTTCCTCATCTGGCTAATGTGGAAGTTTCAGAGTGCAAATCCATAAATGCAATTGTTCTTATAGAAGGTGCAGAGAATTCTCCCATAGAATTTCTTGAGTTGTGTTCTCTAACATTGAAAGGACTCCCAACATTAGTCAGTTTCTGCTTATCAAGTCAAGAATCGTCTTCTTCCACTCATACACCCACACTTTTTTATGACCAGGTATTAATTAAAATATTTCATTCATGATAAGGCATTAAAGCATTAAACATGTCTAATATATATTTGCAGCACATTTATTGCATTCTATAGCATAACACTCAGATTACTTTTACTCCGAACGCCACTCATACCAAATGACAAATAATTCATTGAAAGTTATACCATTTAGTGTTGATAGTATGTTTAAATATTTTAGTTAAAAAAAAATCAGCTTTTAAGGATTTTGTTGTGTTCAAATTTTTAAGATAATATTTAAATAAAAATAAGAATATATCATTCTTCTCATTCAAAATATAGATATATTATTCGTTTATTTTAAGATTAGGATAATGATAGTTATTGAATTTTGTATTAGAATATAAATTAAAATATAATATGAATGTTTTTATCCTAATATTCCAAGACGACAAAGCACACAAAATGTAATATTTTTTTAAGTCAACAAAGCACACAAAATGTAATACTTTTCAAAAATTACATAATTTCATAGTTCATGACTTTTCACATATAATAATTAATGTTATTTTAAAGTCAACAAAGCACACAAAATGTAATATTTTTTAGATAACAAAATTGGTAATTATGTGGCAGAATTTCTTTTTCTAATGGTGTTCATCAATAATAGGTCCTTTTTTTTTTGGGCACCTCATGCTTAGGAAATAGCCATGAAACACACTAAAAGACAAAAAGAATGAATTATTAATCTATGTAGTCAATTAAAAATTTGAAATAAAAATAGGAGAAATTATGTTTTAATCAGCGGTGGTTTTGTCTTTTTGTTTGTGTAAAATACATTTTCGTTAATAATAATGTAGTAATATCTATTTTATTGTGTATATTCAGGTGTGTTGTCCTAATTTGGAGACAATGGTGATTTCCAAGGTTAGTGAATTGACAGCAATATGGAATGAAGGGTATGGTATTTCAAATTCGTTTTGCAAACTAAAAATTGTAGAGATCACAGATTGTGAGAAATTGAAGACTGTTTTTCCAGTTAATATTTCTAATATTCTTGATAATTTAAAGATATTAGAGGTTAGTAATTGCAGTTCAATGACAAGCATTTTTACTGTGATGAGGCAAGATAACAAACAACCAGGATCTCAATTGAGCCTTCCCATGATTCGTATAAAGTTACTTCACCTACCAAAATTAGAGTATGTATGTGTCACTACAGAATTTGAATTACTCAAGAAAAAATTTGAGGAAGAATGGCAAGATGGAGTTTCCACTTTACCAGCTCACCGACGGCCTGAAGCTCAAAAAATGATGAAAAAGTTTATGAAAGAATATTTAAATATGTAGGTGCATCATGCTTCATGCTTGGAAAACTGGCTGCTCCTTTATACTTTATTTAATTTACTTTTAACTACAAGCTTTTCATGTATATTTAATCATTGTTATATACTTTCAGTCTTTTATTATGTTGTACGTTTAATTTGGATTTCGTTTGTGTTGCTGAAGTGAATCTAGTTTGTTGTTTTATTTAAAGTTAATCTTGTTTGTTAAAATAATATATGTTTCCTTTTTGTAATGTATAAACTAGATTTAATTAACCTTAATACAATCACAAAAAGTAAAAACAATGATCAATGAGACATTCAGAGATTGATTAATAAAAATTTAGATTTTGTTCAACATGAAATATAAAAATTTATGAAAGTAAAACAATACAATAAATTATGATGGTTGAATTTATATAATGAAAACAATCAGTGATTCACTAATTTTCTTCATGCAAATATTTTTAAATTTTTATTTAATATTTAAATTATACAATCATTTAACTTTAAATTGTAATTCTTTAAGTAAGAAATTTAAAGTTTTTAAAAAAAATTCAATTTCTTGATATCTTTTTGTTAAATAATATATATTAAGGTCAAGGATTAAAAGTCGATTAATAAATTTTATCTTATTCATAACAATAAATATTATCAAGATTTTGTTCTCACTCTTCGGCTTGTTAAAAGGGAGAGAGCTTAATTGAGATGAAGGATAGTGTGTGATGAGAGAGTAATATGCCACATGGATTTGTTATCTATATAAATTAAAATATAACCAATGCAAAAAAACAATTAAAGTCTACATTAATTACCACGGTATACATCAGTTGTAAAATCAATATAAAATCTCCAATTTAACATACATAGAATGTGTTTCCTACAAAATTAATGATTAAACTAACACGCATTAACGTTATGAAAACCTCTTTTAATTGTTTGAAGAAAAACATTACAATGTGTCTAATAATTATCAAATATGCATACATGTTTTTACTCAATTTAGGTAATTATTAATATATATTATATTTCTAAGTGTTGTTATTAATCACAAAACAATTAGTCTAGAAATAATTTTAAATTTTAATTTAGTTGTTTAAATATTAGATATTTTTATGTTTCTTTTTGTTGAATATCACAGGGAAATGATAATTTAGAAAGCTACAAGTCTCAATAGGAATCATCGCTCTAAGCTTCATAAAATCTTCATTCTAAGTGAGAATAATTCGCTCAAAATGATCAAAATTTGCTTTGAACGAGTAAAGGCAAATAACACTCCTCAAAGCACAAACAAGGTGAGTTATATAAGTGGTTTGAGCTTGTGGACATCATAAGCCCAATTGAAAAAAGTCCATTAGAAAATACTATAAATATAGGGCCTCTAAAAGGTCTTTGAATCAATTCTTACTTTACTAAACACAATTCTAGAGAGATTAGAGAGAATTTTTGTAAGATCATTCTTATAATCACGGATTGCTTAAAGATCCTTTTTCGATCTATTGTGTAATCCTCAATCATGAGTGATAGGTCTTCTACTATTGGAGATTGGTGTAATTGTTGTACTCATGTAATCTTTCTTTGTTCTCATTCAATATAATCTTTTTATTTAGTTAATCATTTTACTCTTGTACTTAATGCATGCTTTAAACAATGCATGATTTTATAATTTTAATTGAGCTTGGAAAACCCTTTTAGAATTATGATCTAGGTAAAATGCTAATAAACATTTATTACTTTGGAGGTTGATGTAGTTGTTGTACTCATGTAATCTTTCCCGTTCTCATTCAACAAATTATTTTTATTCGATTAATCATGTGTGCTTTGACCAATGCATAATTTTATAATTTTAACCGAGGTTGAAAAACTCTTTAAGAATAACAATCTAAGTAAAACACTAATAATAGTTATTATCGAGGAATTGGGATAAACTTTATCAATTGACTTTAGGTCCTTGACTTTAATGCAAAATTATTTAACAAACTTTACTAAGAAATTGAGATTTCTCTTAAACAACTAAAATTTCTCACATAAGAAATTAAGATTTAAATATAATAATGAACAATTGAGTTAACTATATAATTTTTAATATTGAATGAAAATTAGGGGAGGATTTATGTGGTGAAGGTTAATGAAATTAATCTCTATTTGTTCTTATATATCGATATATAAATTCAAATTCTTTATTACTTTGTTATATGTTTTTCTATAAATTTCTTATTTAATTCTAAATAATTTCAAATTCTAGTTGCATTTCTATTTAGTACCAAAATTATATTAGACAATTATAAACATAAGTCTTTGTGGATTCGAATTTTAGACTTTTGTCTTCTTTATTACTACGTAAATTGATATACTTTCCAAATGTGTATCAAGTAAATGATGTCAATGTTAGGATCGAGCCAGGTCATCACGGCCCGTTTCACTTTTGGAACGGCCCGTTCTGGTACCCAAAATACCCCTATAACTTTATTAAAATTACGAAAATACCATTAAAATAATAATAATAAAAAATTAGGTGTTACACATCTGCATGATAAGTAGGAATACTCGCCACTATACTACAATGACTTAAAATGTGTGATGAGAGAGTAATGCTATATGGGTTTGTTATCTACATCAATAAAATTATGACCAATGTAGAAAGCCAATGATCCTCTTTAATAAGGTAGCTAATTAATGATTTGTGAAATTCCTAATGATTTGGTGTAAGTTTTAACTTGTAAGCAAGGAATTGAAACTTGATATGATGTTCAGGAAAGAATCTAGCAGAGGCTATCTTTTCTAAATGAAAGTGTGAATAATCTTTTTTAAGTGACAAAGTTTGGCTATTCCGTGTTTTCTACGTACCGTTCTTTGCATGAGCATCATAAGGCCATGTTTATTCTCACCAAAAAAACTACTAAATGCCATTAAACAAATGCATGTATTCGTCCACTTTATTAATAAACTTACTAATTAATAATTTGTGTTATATTCTTAATCTGACATTAGTTATAAGTAAGGCATTACTGAAACTTGATGGTGAGGAAAGAATTGAAGGAAAGTGACTGAATACATCTTTACTAAATGAGATGGCAAATAATCTTCGAAGTACTTTGGATGGAAAATATAAAAAATTGAACCATTCATTCTAACCAGAGCTATAAGGCTCAATTTTCTTGTGGCTGGAGATAAAACTAACGTTGTGTTCCTGCCTTACAGCTATTTTGATTTGATGGATACGAAATTAACTTTCTTCGTAATTCCAATACCTAGAAATTTAGCTTGACAAACATAATACAAAGATGTCTCAAAGCCTCAACAAGGTAACAACAGGTTATCTTCAAATCTTTGAACGGCCGGAATCAAACCAAACCCGCTTTCTCTTCTTAATTAATTAATTAAAATTCTCTTTTCATTTATCTAATAAAAATATTTTTCTTGGTATCTTTAATCCAAAAGAATCCTAAAAATAAGAAAAACTAATTTAATTCAATTACGAATATATTATTTTAATTACAAAATATCTATAATTTAATTATTATTATTATCTAAAATTTCCAACGTTACAGAATGAGCTTATTCAATCGTCTAGGAGTGCTTTCTGATTTGACTCACTCAGAGAGCTCTTATAGTTGCTTTAAGCGAATTTTGCTCTCTCAAAGCGAGTTGCCTACTCACTTAAGCAAGTTAACTTCATCATCAGGGGATGCTCTCTGATTTGGCTTGCTTCAAGCTAGGATCTGGTCACTTTAAGTGAATCTTGCTTGCTTAGAGCAACCATTCTAATCGCTTTAGTGAGCTATAACTTGATCTCTCATGTGTAGTCTCTGACTTAACTCGCTCAAAGCAAGTTGTTGGACACTTTAAGCGAATTTGTCCCACTTAAAACACATCCATGTAACTTGGAGTGATGGTTTTTTCTTTGACTTGTAACTTCCAAATTATTTTCTCCTTGTGTTACTAAAGTGAATGTTAGGTTACAAAAAGGGGGCTCAATTGTTATCTTCTTTAAAAATCTGTTCTTTATGAAATATGTTCTTCATAAGACAAGTCTTTTGAGTACTAGAACATAGTGTATTTATCTGAAAATAGATTTTAAGCTTTCTTCTTTATAAAATAGATTATGCAACAATGTAGATGCAAGAAGATAATTAAACAAGTAAAGAGATTAGGATAAAGAGATTGAACACAAGATTTACACTAGTTCACTCCAATTGGGATACATTCAGTCCTTATACAAACTTGTGAGATTTTTACTAATCGCAACAAATTGTTGTTCAAAAAAATCAATCACTTGCTAAAATAAAACACTACTACACAACTAGCTACTTTCAATAGTAAACACTCAACCACCTGTTGATATTTCTTCACTCAATCACCTGTTTAGAAAATAATCACACAAACACTTGCCATGAGATTACACAACACCTGTTGTGATCCCTTTCTACTTTTCTACACCTCTGCACACTCATATCTGAATAGGAATAGTGTTTACAAAAATGGGTTTTGTATTCTTGCAAACTGTTAAGATCACAGTCAATCTCCTATGATGGATTTCAAATTTCATTTGAAATTCAAATTTTTGGCGCCAATAGTGTAAGCTTGTGATTGGCCCCACTTGCTTGCCTCCGGACCTATATATAGCTTAATCCTTCTCATTTGTAATCACTTTTGATATATGAGAATTCTGAATTCATTCTTCAGCCAAATTCTCTCCCAAGATCACCTTGTTCCTTGGTTTAGCTTTAGGAATCCTAGATCTCTAAGGCTATCCGTGAGCAATCTTTTGCTCTCCTAGCTTGAGTGCTTCCTTCTTGATTTAGATTCCATCCAAATCCGTGCTCATCTCAAGCTACCTTCCCCGAAATTGTGGATAAAGGACGAAGATTGTGTGAAGGAGTAAGGCAAGGGAAGATCACCGTTCACTTCTCCTCCCTCACTCCATCATTACACAACAAATATTGTGATTCCTTTCTACTTTCCTACACCTCTACACACTCATATCTGAATAGGAATAGTGTTTACGAAAATGGGTTTTGTATTCTTTTAAACTTCTAAGATCACAGTCAAGTCTCATATGATGGAGCTTCCATTGAGGAAGGTTTCACACTTCTTTTTCTATTACAAGACTGATACAAAATAATGAAGTGGAAACCCCTGAACGAATCAGAGTATGAAGCAAGGATTGTAACTTTGTTAGCTTGTGTAG